AATTTCTGGCACGGTCTCTAGGTGTGGCCCGATCGACCCTACATAAGAGGTTCCAGTTGAATGAGCTCAACCGCATCACAAGCACCGTGAAACCTCACCTCAAGCTAGAGAACAAGCTTGCGAGATTGAAATTTTGTATGCCCATGGTCGATGACAATTCAATCTCAACTTCTCGGGCTATGTTTAAACCAATGACGAATATGGTTCACATCGATGAGAAGTGGTTTGACATGACAAGAGTGAAGAATAGTTACTATGTACTTCCAGGAGAACCTGAGCCAAAGCGCACCGTGTCAAACACTCACAGCATTGGGAAGGTGATGTTCCTAACAGCTGTTGCCAGGCCTCGATATAACAATGAGGGGGAGCTAACATTCGATGGGAAGATTGGCATTTGGGCATTCGTTGAAGAGACTGAGGCGAAGCGGACAAGTCATAATAGAACAAAGGGAACAAAAGTGTTGACATCAGTGAAAGTAACAAGGCCTGTGTGCAGAGATTATCTAATCAATAAGGTTATCCCGGCAATTCAGGATAAGTGGCCTGACGATGACGAGGGAGCAACAATATTCATCCAACAGGATAATGCAAAGCCCCATGTCCTTCCCAATGATGTAGCTTTTCGAGAAGCTATGGAACAAACTGATCTTGACATCCGATTGCTACAACAGCCCCCAAATAGCCCTGAGTTAAATTGTTTGGACTCTGCTTCCATACCTCTCTCTAGTCTCTAACCGACTGCAGGTCACCTACAAACATCCAGGAACTGGTACAGGGTGTGGAAGAGGAATTCGAGAACTACGATCCCGACAAGTTGCACAGAAGCTTTATCACATTAGAAGCAGTTATGTTTGAAGTTATGAAAGACAAAGGAGGAAATCAATATAAGTTGCCCCACTTGCACAAGGATCGCATTCAGAATGCTGGCAGGGAAATCATCAGTGTATATTGCAACAGTCGGGTAGTTGTTGATACTAGGGCCATTATAGAAGAAATGGAAATTGCAATAGGAAAAGAAAATGAAAGGAAAGAATTGGCTAAAGAATGGAAAAGAAAGAAAAGTAAAGGGAAGGGAAGGGAAGAAGTGGCCAGAGAAAGGAAAAGAATGTAGTCAAGAGGGGGCAAAGAGGCCCTTATGTCATGTAGTCAGGTGCTCCTTGTGTATGTCTTGTGTAATCTTGTATCAAGAGGCGACCAAGATGCCCTTATGTCATGTGTAATCTTGTGTCAAGAGGGGACAAAGAGGACCTTATGTCATGCCCTTGTGTATGCCTTGTCTAATCCTTGTATATAAACTCCTTGTTGGAATTTATTGGAATTTGGGTTATTTGGAATTTGAATTGATTTGGATTAATTTTAGTTATTTGAATTAATTTAAAATATTTGGATTAATTTGAATAATTTGGATTAAAACTGAATATTTGTGCTAACTTACTTTGCAATTTGTGCTAACTTACTTAATTATTTGTGCCATAATGTTGGCCATTTTAGAAATGCACTAATTAAATTTCTAAAATGAAGCTATAGATATACAGTGTTATGTTCTGACAATAGCTAGGTACTGTAGATAGGATAGCAAATTTGTAGAGCCAGTTGAGTTAATTTGAGCAAGTCTTGAGATGATGAACTTGCTGTCAGTTGACATGATGAACTTGCTGTTAATAAAAAGCACTGTTGTTATGTTATAAAAACTGTAGTATGAAAAGCAACCGAGAACAAATTAGTCCAATAGCAGTCCTTTTTTGTTTTGGATTAATTTTAGTTATTTGAGTAAATTTTGAGTAAAATGACAGTACTTCAGAAAATATGGAGTAATGCATAAATTTGTACTCCAGCAAGTTTATTGCATACTCTGACTGAACTTTAGTTTACTGTTAAATGGCACTTGGGGTTATCTAGTTGATCAGCCTCATGTTTCACTCTATTCCTCCTTTGTTGTGGACTGGGGGTTATCTAGCAGATTTCCATGCATGGTTGATTGGTCAGAAAAATAACTAACCCAGCCAGCTCTCATGTGGCTCTAGATTAGACCCCAATTGTTGAATTGTTCATAATACTCCAAAAATGATGGAGTACTACTGTTCATATGCATGCAAGATTGTAACTGTGCAAAATACCCCAAACTCTAAACTAACAGAACTAGTGCAAAAGTGTTGATAATCTAGAGGCTCTTTTCAACTAGCAGAACTATGTACTCCTACTAATAGTAGGACTACTACTAGTAATCTAGAGGCTCTTGTAAGCTAATGTTTACAACCAGAAAATGGACAAATTTAAAAATATCGCACATGTTTTATTTGCAACACAAATAGAAGGGGGGATCTTATTTTACTGGTGGATCTTGATCAATGGCTATGTAAAGAATTTGAATCAATTTCTACACAACAATACTGAATTGGGGGAAAGAATGAGAGGAGCCCAACATGAGAAGTGATGGACTATGGATACCGTTGCAATCAAAACCTTTTCTCAGTTAATTGGCAAACAATAAATGCCGTAAGAAGAAGCGAGGCCACCAACACCCAGAACATGGTAAACAACGATGGCCTCCACTTCAAAAAGAGGATCATTGTTTCTGAAGCAAGTAACTTGCTCAGCATGTTTCTAAAGCCAGTAACTTGCTCGGCATGTTTCTGAAGCCAGTAAACAATGATGGCCTCCACCATGTTTCTCAAGCCAGTAACTTGCTCAACATGCAAGGAGGATCATCGTGGAGTAACTTTTAATCACATCCACTAAAATTCACAAGTTGACAACACACTTTACAAGAGTACATTCAGTTTACAGGAGTACATTCACTAAAATTCAGTAGACAGAGAATACACACATTCAGTAAAATTCAGTTCAGAGACTACGCACGTTCAGTACATTGAGTAGATGAGTAGAGAAGAGAGGTTCATACCCAGGCTGTAGGCGTTGGTGACGGAGATGACCCAGGCTGGAGAAGATTTGTAGCCGCCGCCGCTGCTGCCAAGTGAGCAGGGACGACCCACTGGACAGCCGCCGCTGCTGTCGCGGTGTCGCAGGCGCGGGTCTTCCACCAGAGAAACAACGAAGAAGAAGCCGCCGCGGTCGTATTCCTAGTGGAGTTGTCGTCGCCGTCTTCAACACTCGCAAATCCACAAGCTTTAGGTTGCTGTCGTCGTTAGGCTCATCGGCGTTTACCTTGTTGCATCTCCTGTCGCCATGGGGCTCGTCGGCCTCATCGACCTTTAGATTGTTGGTGGTGGTCAGGATCCAGCGCCTCCGGGCTCACTAACGCCGGTTCCTACGCAGCCGGAGCAGAGCGCGGCGGTAGCCGGGGAAATCGAAGATTTTTATGAGGAAGGGGGAGCTTGGGGAGGCAGGCGAGGGGCAGGTGCGGCGGCGGAGCAGGAGGCAGCTGCGGCGATGGAGCGGGGGAGCAGGGAGCTGCGTTCGCGGGGAGCAGGGCAGCTGCAGCGGCCGGGAGCAGCGCAGCTGCGGCGGCGGGGAGCAGCGCAGATGCGGCTTCTGTCGGAGGAGGAGGACGAGGGAGCGCGGGTTTGGTCGGGAGAAATTAGAGGTTTTTTTTGCTAAATCGCCCTCGCGACATGTTTTTCGGGACGGAGGGAGTATTTTTCATTTTTTCTGAGACGATGCTGGTGAGAACTATGAAAAAGCAATACTGTATATACTTTGATATACATTATACTAGCACGTATGCCCGTGCGTTGCAACGGGAGAAATGTACTGAATTTTTTAATTTGATGAGAATAATATGTGCAAGCATAACACTGTGTTTCGCTAAAAAAAAAGGTAGCCAAAACGCCCACCAGTGCTGCATAGTAACATCCAGACCCTACGGCGTTATGATCTATTCAAAAGTAAGGGTCATTCTTGAAGAAAAAACTATTCTCGCATAGAAAGCATCTCTTCTACCTCTACCTAATATTAATATATACTTGCCCTCAAAAAATATTAATATATACTTCATACAATAGTTAAAAGGAGTAAGTTTTCTTCCTTTGTTTTTCATAGCACACACCGATTTATTTAACTTGTTTACTGCAAATATAAGCACGAACAATGGGCTGCGAACATTATAAATTACTAACTTCGTTACATAATTTCTCTCCATAGCCAAGGCAAGCAAGTGCAACAGCACCATGCTTGGTCACCCATTTGTTTGCTAAATCCGATTGTACCAGCTGCATTTTTTGTTGAAACATCAAAACAAAGTCTATCCCTCAAAAGAAAGAACAACTTTAATCCGGTGGTTCCAGTAGACACATAAAAGATGATCATAATATAGCATAATGTCTGTGCTTCCCTACAAGCATTAAACTATAAATTTGAACTGAAATTTAAACGGAGTATAGAATGAAAAAAAATAGCATCATTAATAAACCTGGAGATGCAACAGCTACAAGCAGACCAACCTGGTGCAAGCGCCGTTCGTGTCCAGCGAGAGCCATGACAGCCGCTCGCGTTTCTCTTCCTTGGCCATGCCGCGCACGTTATTCTCTCCGTAGGCTATACGCGCGTTCTGTGGCTAAATTCTGCAGCTAATAGTTTTGCAATAAGATGACACATTGAAATGGCCAACAAACAGGTTGAGATGTTTTCAGGTTTCAGCTCAGGTGTCAACCACTAAACTGAATCAACAAAAATAAGAAGATAATTTCCCTTGCCATGAACACAAGAATAGAGTATAAGAAGCTAATCATCAGGAGTTTGATCCAATCATCGGCCCCCGCGCGCATATGCATGTATGTATGCCCATCTCTACAATTAAATTGAATTTTGCTTTTGTTTGGTTTATAGCAGCAGTCACCTCCTCATCATCTCATTGGGATGCCAGATGGCGAATGCCAATGCCGGCCTACCTATATGTACACCAGAATGGAAAGGCACCTGAAACATTTTGTTCAGTCGCTCATCTCAAATGTTCCCAAGGCCATATAGTGCAACTGTAGTTGTACCCTGAAATCATATGAAATTACAGAATTGGCATCTGACAGCTCATGATATTGCCTGGTTCAGAAGTAGTTCACCTTTTTAACAAGTACTGGATGGACAACTATTTGATGAACAACGGAGCCGCCAAGGTCTATCTTCCCAAAATAGTTTACAAGATTGCAAGCCGAAAGGATATGGATAGCAGAGAGGTTATCCTACAATGAGGCAAAATGAACGAATGCATAAAAGAAAGTCGAGAGACATAATACAGACAATTTCAGTAGAAACCCATACGATTCAAAAGATCATAAAAAGAAGCTCATACTACACCAGCAGGATCATCATGATTTCCATGGATAGTGAACACATGCAAGCCAACATTGAAATGTGGGTCTTCATAGTTTACATGGCCAAAACTGGTAATGCAAGAGGAAAATTCATCTGCGAACATGAAGTACAAGAATATGATTGCGCACATCTTTCCTACGGTTTTCATGCATGCTAAAGAGATTAATAAGATCAAAATACGTTAAAAGTAACAGGCTTGCTCATGGAAACTCATGTGGACGGTGAATATTAAGGAAAGGAGAGCGAGGGGAAGAGGGGGCAGCCCTCGGCCCGATCATCCAATTCGCTCCGACGATCCATGCATGGTTCGTCCTTCTTGAATTTAAATCGAGTGATTCCAAAATTCGAAGGAACATTATGAAATGGAACGTTGAGCTTTGAGATTCATTGCTCAACCTGTTTGGGAAGTTGACTGTCTGATCATTGACAACCTGAAACTTGACTGGTATATCATTTACTCCCTTCGTCCCATAATGTAAGGCTTTTTGACACTACTGTAGTGTCAAAAAATGTCTTACATTATGGGACAGAGGGAGTAGGAAGTAGCGGCGTAGAATCACAATGGTCTTCACCAAGGTCGAACGCGAAGGCTTGTCCTCATGGATCAGGTCACCACCGAGAAGCACAAAGTCTACCTGCGAATCAGTCTCATCCCAGTTATTACACACCAACAATGGGCGGTCCACGAAAGGATGAACAGGCGGATCAAAATAACCACACACAAAACATTGCTCGTACAAACCTCCTTCTGCTTTGCTAACGAGCATATCTCCTCAAAAGCCTCAAATGAATCAAACCTCCATATCTCATCCTTCTCCATGTAGCCCAGATGGCAATTGGTGCCCGCAAGTATCCGGAGCATGTCTCTGTTGTCTTCCCCGCAGTGCATTCAACAGCGACCAGGTCAGGAGGACAGCACAACACCTTGTGGCTGTCAGCTTAGGTAACATATGGCAGCCAATGGAATGCTCCAATGCACAAAGATATTTCTCTCTATGCAACGAGCGGTAACTTGCAAACAATACAGATTGATTAGCTATGTATATTTATCCAGTTTATCATTCCGGCCACTAATGCATTATTTTCTTGATCAGGACTCACATTATGAAAAAGGACTCGCATTGCCAGGTACCAACTTGAGCCAAAGCACTTGTTTCCTGTCAACAGATCACTGCAACGACAACAAACACGCAAGCAAGGTTAGCTGACAAGCGAATATACCAAAGACGAGAGTGGCGGGAGCATGATTGAAGCTTGGAGGCGTTCCGTCGAACAGGTGCTGGGCGCCACAACAGCTGCTCCCACACACCCAAACCAGAGCCAACATCGTACGCAGCAAGCCGCCACGAAACAAGAATGGCAAACAGAAAACGCGGACGTGCCGGATTCTACGGTGAGAGAAGCCTAACAATCACCTTCGCTTGGCCGCCTCCACTGCCGTCAATTGAAGAAGCCAACCGCGGCGACTGACCTGGCGCGAAGCCGCAGCCGATAGGCGCTAGTCCCGCCGGCAAGGACGCCGCCCCTCACCCGAGCACACGCCCCGGTGAGGCATCCTCCATCCTCCCACGCGAGGCACGGCGGCCGCCTTCTCATCCTCCATGGCGACCGTAGCCGTCTCCGGCCTTGCCGGTAGTACGGCGGTAGTACGGCAGTAGGAACGGCGGAGGCTGGAGAGAGTTTTTTTTTTTTTTGAAAGGAGGCTGGAGAGAGTTGAGCTGCCGGCGGCAGACGCATCTGGGTCTCTGGATAAGAAGGCGCTGACCGCGGGTAGGGGTGCTTTTGTAAAAGCGAAACGTTTTTTTAACTAAAACATGGACTGCGGGTTTAATTATCAGAAAGTAGAGGGGCTTTTTTGTAAAACTGTCGCGACGGTGAGCGGAAGCAGTAGCCGCTTTATTATATATATAATATATATATATATATACATATATAAGGGAAAGATAATGAGCCGCTCATCTCAACCGGCGCTAATCTAAGATCCCTAGACGTACAGTGTGGCTAGACAAACGTTGAACCGCTAATTCGCCACTATATCAAAGAAGAAGATTGGTAGCCGAAAATATTAAAAAGGAGACAATATCTAACTAAAATATACTAGATGCTATCACCGTACCATCACTGCCAAGACATGTCGAAGCCCCGGACGATAATCCAGGGGATCAGTGCCATCGATGACTAACAGCATCTACATCCGGATACACTCAATCCGAGCGCGTCTGCAGGCAGTGACCTGGTAGCCCTCAAATTTCTGCGACCGGGCAGCCCTCAAATTTCCACCTCTGTATCTGGATAGTTCATATTTCATCTCTTACAAACATACGAATCATGCAAAGTAAACATTTATGTAGTACGTATATCAACTAAACCTACACTACACTACTTGTTGTCATTGGAAATGTCCACTATGTTCGTTCCGGGCTCTGAGTACAGTGGCGACGAACTACGGCTCCGCGGCGGCCTCCGCCTCCATCTCCGCTTTCACCTTGTTGAAAAGCGCGCGGGTCTCTGCCTGTTGTTGCCGAATGAAGCGTCGGTTGGACTCCAGTATGCCTCATCTTGGATAGGCTGGAGGATGGCGGTCTGCTCCGCCATCTCCACTGATTGGGCGACCTCGAACTTCGTCATGGCATCCTCCATGATGAAGCCCGCAACCGGCGTCAGATCCTCCACCTGATCCACCCCGTCTATGGGCTCCAGCTGTTGCTCCCCCTCTCTTCCTCCTCCACCTCCAGCTCCGGCGAGTCCGAGGGCAGGCCGACTGTGATTCGAACGACGCGCCTCATCCAGATCTCCTCCTGAATCTGGAACCGGAGCTCTGGCGTTAGCATAGCGTACGCTTTTTCTGTCGGGCCATGACGGAGGCGGATGATAAGGGAAGAGGGAGACAAAGACGGAGAGATATGGATGAGCTCGGGCAGGTGGCACAGAGAGGGAGGAAGAGGATGTGGCTAGGGTTGGGGGACGCCGTTCAGCTTAAATAGCTGGACTTTGGCCTCGGGCGGTGAGCCGAAGCGGCGCCACACAGCATTCACACCCCCATCGGAGGAGACGCCCCTCGGACCGTTGGGTTTCCGGGAAATTTCATGTGCGACCTAGAAAAAAGAAGGTGAGGACTTTCGGGATGAAGTGCCGCCGTCTCGAGGCGGAACCTGGGCATGAGCACTTTTTCCCTCCGGTGGAGCAATTCCGCCGGGGGAACTTCCCTCTCAGAGAGGGAAATCATCGCCATCATTATCACCAACAACTCTCCCATCTTGGGGAGGGCTATCTTCATCAACATCTTCAACAGCACCATCTCATCTCAAACCCTAGTTCATCTCTTGTGTTCAATCTTTGTACCAGAACTATAGATTGGTACTTGTGGGTGACTAGTAGTGTTGATTACATCTTGTAGTTGATTACTATATGATTTATTTGGTGGAAAATTATATGTTCAGATCCATTATGCTATTTAATACCCCCATTGATCTTGAGCAAGATTATCATTTGTGAGTAGTTACTTTTGTTCTTGAGGTCACGGGAGGAATCATGTTGCAAGTAATCATGTGAACTTGACATGTGTTTGATATTTTGATGATATGCATGTTGTGAGTCCCTTAGTGGTGTCATGTGAACGTCGACTACATGACGCTTCACCATATTTGGGCCTAAGGGAATGCATTGTGGAGTAGTTATTAGATGATGGGTTGCAAGAGTGACAGAAGCTTAAACCCTAGTTTATGCGCTATTCCGTAAGGGACCGATTGTATCCAAAAGTTTAATGCTATGGTTAAAATTTATTCTTAATAATTTTCTCATAGTTGTGGATGCTTGCGAGGGGTTTAATCATAAGTAGGTGGTTTATTCAAGTAAGAACAACACCTAAGAACCGGTCCGTCCACATACCAAATTATCAAAGTAGCGAACACGAATCAAACCAACATGGTGAAAGTGACTAGATGAAATACCCGTGTACCCTCAAGAACACTTTGCTTATCATAAGGGGCCGTTCTGGCCTATCCTTTGCCTCAAAAGGATTGGGCTACCTTGCTGAACTTTTGTTACTACTATCGTTACTTGCTCATTACAAATTATCTTTCTATCAAACTACTCTGCTACTTACAATTTTAGCACTTGCAGACATTACCTTGCTGAAAACCAGTTGCCATTTCCTTCTGCTCCTCATTGGGTTTGACACTCTTACTTATCGAAAATGCTACAATTGACCCCATATAGTTGTGGGTCATCAAGGCTATTTTCTGGCGCCGTTGCCGGGGAGTGAAGCAGTTTTGGTAAGTAGAAATTGGTAAGGAAATATTATTACTACGTGCTGAAATTTATTGTCACTTGCTACTATAAAAAACAATCCTTTGAGGGGTTTGTTAGGGGTATCTTCACCTCGACCGGAACCACAATTAGTTGCCCCTCAACCTAATGCCCCAATCATGAGCTCTCAAGAGAAATTATTATCCAGAATTTTTCTGCTCGGCTTTCTCGTAATGATCAATCCATGCTCGATGCTTCTTGTACCGGTTCTTTTATGAAGAAGACTATTTAATTCTAGTGGGATCTTTTAGAAAGAATTAAACGCAACTCTGAAGATTAGGAACTCGGCGAAGGTAAAGAGTTAGGTATTGAACCTAAGTTTGATTGTCTTAAGTCTTTTATGAATACCGATGCTTTTCAAAAGTTTAGCACTAAATATGGACTTGACTCTGAGATAGTAGCTTCCTTTTGTGAATCTTTTGCTACTTATGTTGACCTCCCTAAGGAGAAGTGGTTTAAATATCACCCACCTATTAAAGAAGAAATTAAAGAACCGGTAAAAGCTAAAGAAGAAACTATCATTTTACAATGTTGATCAAGTTGTTCCCACTGCTTATATTGAAAACCCACCTTTCCTTGTTAGGATGAAGGAACATGCTAAAGTTTCAACTGTGGTTAACAAAAGTTATAGTAGAACACCCAAACCAACTGAACAAATCAGAGTTGAACCTAGTATTTCTATGATTAAAGATCTCTTTGTCGATAATATTGATGGGCATGTTATTTACTTCTGTGATGAAGCTGCTAGAATTGCCAAACCCGATGAAAAAGATAAACATAGACCAGTTGTTGGCATGCCTGTTGTCTCAGTCAAGATAGGAGATCACTGTTATCATGGTTTATGTGATATAGGTGCTAGCGTGAGTGCTATTCCTTTTCCCTTATATTAAGAAATTAAGAATGAAATAGCACCCGCTGAAATAGAAGACATAGATGTTACTATTAAACTTGCCAATAGAGATACTATATCACCAATTTGGATCCTTAGAGATGTTGAAGTCTTGTGTTGGAAAATAAAATACCCTACTGATTTTGTTGTTCTTGGTTCCCCACAAGATGACTTTTGTCCCATTATCTTTGGTAGACCTTTCTTGAACATCGTCAATGCTAGAATAGATTGTGAGAAACAAATTGTTGGTGTTAGTTCTGGGAATGAATCTCATGAATTTATTTTTTCCAAGTTTAGCAGGAAACCTCATAAGAAAGATTTGCCTAGTAAGGATGAAATAATTGGTCTTGCTTCTATTGTTGTAGCTCCTACTGATCCTTTAGAACAATATTTTCTAGACCATGAAAATGATTTGCATATGCATGAAAGAAATGAAATAGATAGAATCATGTTCGAACAACAACCTCTGCTAAAACACAATCTGCCTATTGAAACTCTAGGAGGTCCTCCTCCACCTAAAGGTGGTCATGTGTTTGAATTAAAACAATTGCCAGACACTTTGAAATATGCTTGTCTTGATGAAAAGAAGATATATCCTGTTATTATTAGTGCTAACCTTTCAGAACATGAAGAAGAAAGATTATTGAAAGTTCTAAGGAAGCACCGAGCTGCTATCGGATATACTCTTGATG